ATCTATAGACTATGTGCTAAGCTGCTACATTTTTGAGCTATAATTATGAAGGTGGCGAAGCTTTAAGTTTCCTATGACGGGGTAAGTAAACCAAATCGGAAACATTTTAAGCAAACCAACTCTTCTTATTGGCCAGTTCTGCTTTTCTCGACCGCATTGCAGTTGTGCGAGATTGCCTATTTCGTTTCCGGTCTCAGCTCACGAGTACACATTCTGGCGGTTAGGTTATCTAGGCAGTACCGAACCGAATTCAATTGGATATTCTACGCATGGGGTTCTATCGACGAAGAGATTTCCGTCCGTTCCAAATAGGAGTCGAAATAGCGATGACGGGTTATAAGACACAAATACCATGAAATCGAATAACTATATAATCTAGCTTACGTGGTGTACATCCCAGACACGCCAGAAGCGGACAGAGGGCTGCTGGTGGACATGCAACAGCCAAGGGTTATCTTTCGCAATTCATACACAAACAAGTTAGCGCGCAAACAGTCCAAAAGAAAGTGATCTTCATTGAGCAGCGGTCTATTGAGAAGTGACCACGTCGTGAAGATAACCGTGAATCGGATAAATGTTTTACTGGAAATAACGTGAAACGTAGGTCGATGCAATCTCTGTTTATGTGCTCAATTAAGACTATGGGAACGATGCACTGTATGCCCTGTTGTTTATGCGCACTCGCCCAAATCTATGAGCTTAGCAAAGTTGGGCGCACTGGTGGAAGTACGGGAATCAGAATGAGGGGAGTCGTTGGCAGGGTACTCTAGAAAGCGAAGTTCATAAACAATTACAGAGCCTGCTGACTGAAAGGGGACTGCGACGAACTACCCCTGAAATTACACCCAAAGTCCCACTGCTCATTAGATTCGCGGATCACTGAACACCAAACAAAACCCGATGATTCATTCGTTCCAGAATGGCAAGAATGAAAAGTATATGAACAGGATACGCTGAATTCAAGTATTTTGAGTGTTCTCGTCAGCAGTTTACACACGGCCAGCCTCCACCTACGTTGACGAGGTTATTGATCGTTTCCCTTTGATCTGAATGACCTAGCACATTGATTCCCTTTGTACGCAACGCGACAATTTCACGAATGGGTGTAAACAGCTGATAAGCACACTGGAAATACCTGAATGCAGCGTATCCTATTGGAAGGCTTTTTCTACTCGTTATTTTGAAAGTTGTGAAGGGAAAATCCTGCAAGAAGATTCATTCATTGTTCCAGCGAATGATGGCCTAAAGCAGCCAAGCTCAACGTGAGCCATATGGCCCCCCTGGGGGTCATGGAGAATATCCGGGGGCCCAAGGATGAGAAAATATTGTAGGGGGAATGAGAGGGCCATAGTGGGCCATGTTGTAAAAGTGGGTTGTGATAGCAACAATAAGAAAATTCATCTTAACAAGTTTCTGATGGTTTCTCCGCGTACTAATCTCCCCTGGTCAATGCCAGTCAGTGAAATGAATTACGCGAGCGTAAGTGGCTGTTTACGCAGTTGGGAAATCCAGACCGGGCGGACTTTCTGTTGCGGAGCTGGCATAGCACCGCCAAACTTGCGCAGATTTCGCCGGGCTCATCTCAAATACACACAATCACCTTACGGCGGCTTAGAGTGCGCAGACGATAACCAATTCGTCCTCAGGACTTGATGCCTATCCACAATGAACCAACTGAGCTCTACTCAGAACACTGATACATCTACTGTGCAAGCTGCAGTGAACCCACTGAACTCAGCGCACTACGGTAGTTACCACACAAAGCCACACTGATACTAACTGTGGTTTCCTCAGGACACTACCAATGTGTGACAACTCATGCGCCGAGCAGTTCGGGTATAAGTGCGGAAACGCTACGTCCTTACGCGATTTTTGTCTCCAGTCTCGGCTTGCGTGTACGTCTTACGGCTAGATCACGTTAGTTCGCAACGTTCCGAATTCCACTGGCTACCCTGTGCGCTTGTGATACTATCTCTGAAGAAAGTTCGTTCGTTCCAACTGAGTCGGAAAAGCTAGGAAACCTTATAACGCTTTCTTAACATAGTTCAGCTGAAGTTTTCGAATTAGCGAACAGTTTGTCAAGTTTCTTCCTAAGTGGGGACATTCGGTTTCTTTAGTGAGTTTATATAAGATAATGTGTACATAAGGGCACTTCTCTTAATACTCGAAACAATCAAATGCCTTGCCAGCACGCAATGGGTGCCACGTTTGGCAATAGCAGATGTACGTTATCAGTTTCTTAGTGGACTCATACGTGCCAGTTTCTTGAACTATCCGGCATTTGCTTCCGTTTTTGTCCCTTCTGCCCTTTTATTTTACCGGTTGTCCCTTTGGGCTCCAAGTTTCCTGTAATGTATGTGCATCCAGCGAGCATTGTCATTTTTTATGATATTTTTGTTTTCTTTCCTCATTGGCCTTCGTCAACATTTTTCTTCAGCCGTTTTCATTATCCACGGCATTTTCAAAGTCATCCTTAGAAACCAACTTTGGTCTGCTGCTATCATTGTTTGTACACTTTTACATGTTAAGTTTGTAGCTACCAACAGATGCTACAAATATGCTTAACAAATGTTTTATTTTATTATCTCAGGGTCAAGCAAGGATAAATTTAGTGCCACCAATCATTCATACTACATGCTTGTTTCGTCTTGTCAAATAATCTCATTTAAAACTCATGATATAACTGCGTAAGAAAAATACAATAAAAACAGTATATATATATATATATTACCAATTAGAAATTTACAAGGACATGTTTCTGAAATGAGCTCCTCGGCAAGCAAGAAGTATCGGCGGTACTCCGTGGAATACCTGTCAGTTGGATTTATCGCATCGCCTCCAGACCCCACACTAATTTTATGTTTAGTTTGCCAAAACACTATTTCAAGTGACAGATTGCGACCAAATAAACTGAAAAGGCATTTGGTACTTGTTCATAGGACGAAAGTGGAAAGTCTGTGGATTTTTCAGAAAGGTGAAGGATAGTTTCGAAAACAGACCAACTTTAAAGACGTCAGGTTTGACAGGGCAAAACGATGGCGAATAGACTTAAGGCGTCTTGTAAAATCAACAATGGAATTGCCAAAAGTTGCAGTCTACATAGTTAGAGAAAACAGTATCTTGCCTTTATCAGTACTAATACTTTCTGACCTGATGAATATGAATCTACAAGAAGCAGTTCAAACCATTCCGGTCAGCAATTCGACTGTACCTAGGCGCATAGAGTAGATGGCTCAGGACATTGAAAGTTGCTTTACTACAGTCCAGAGCAGGTATGAAGGTACATTGCAATCAGATGCATCTACTTTACCTGCCATCGGCGCTCTTCTCGTGACAACTGTCCGATTATTCAATGATAATCAATTAGTAGAAAAGATGATGTTTGTTAAGGGAGTTAAAACTCATACCCTTCAAGATCGTCTTTTCAAGCAGTTTTATGAGGAGAACAGTGGGGATTTCCAGATTCTTCTGTTGCGTACAGTAGTTAGGTGGTTCTCTAAAGGTAACCGTCTTTGCTCTTTTTTGCACTCAGGGACAACATCTTCATCACATCATCACCACCTTCTGCAACTGGTTATAAAAGATAACTGTCAACCGCTAGGCCAGTCGTGTTTTATATGGCTGATCTTTTTGAATGACTCCCCTTATTAAATAAAATCATTCAAGGTAACTTGAGTAATCTCATCTCGAGTAAAGAAGCCGTTCTCGCTTTTCTTAATATGCTGGAAGTGTATGCCCAAAGCCTCGGACTTTCCGGAATTGTCACAGTTCCCAGTTCTCGTCACAGTCACGGAGGAGCTGAAGGATGTTGGAGCTAAAATCCAGGAAAGCCTCATACAGTTGCACAGTGACACACTGACAAGATCCAAATACACGCTATATCAAAAGGATATCTGTATAAGGCCTAATACCACTAAAAGACATCCCAAACTGTGGGAACTAGCTGAAATATATTTCCTTGTTTTTCCATTCACATACTTGATTGATTGTAGTTTCAGCAAAGTGGTTTCTCTAACAAAGGGTAGAAACAAATTGGACATCATAGCAAAAGGAGATCTTTGTCTCGCGCTATCAAGTCTGGAGCCGGATATATGCAAGTTTGCTAAAGGAAATCAGGCTCACAGCTGACATTACTATATCGACAGATATAGTGTTACGAAGTTACCCCACCAAATTCATGACATGCTTGACAAATAAAAGCCAACAATAAGTAAATACAATTTTAAATATCAATGATGACTTTTGTGTAAGTAGAGACAAGTGGCTTGATGTTGCCGCACAACGCATGTTATCTTGAGGCTGTGAAAGTTAAACACTGTAGTTTATAGTGGAAACAACAATTAGATCAAGGTTAAAAATTTAGCCGTCATAACAAAAGATACCAATATGAGCGCTGGCAATCGCATATTTACAGGTGTTACGCGTTGCGGATTGCTGAAATTCTGGTGATCAAGGGCTGGGAGCCATGAGAAATGGGAAGATTCATAAGGAGGACATGGAGGAAAAAAGGTTGAGACTGCCTGGCCTAAAGGATAAGGCGCATACCCTGTGATCCGTAGATCACTGGTTTAAATCCGCGTAGGTGCTGCCCACATCAGGGTACACCCAGTCCATACGCGACTAGTTGTGGTCGAGTGGCAGTGAAGCGGCGACACGATCTGCCGTAGCATTGTTGATGCCCGTTCTTTCTCTCACTGTCTTGCCTAACCGAGGACCATAGTTATTTATCAGGATTGGCCGCCGTTCACCATACAAAACAGCTGACTGTGAACTTGCCAAATTAGCTCCAAGTACACCAGTTGACCACCGATTGGATATCAACTTACCTTGTATGACCCAGTTTCTAATATGTCGTAGGTTGCATGTTTGTGATGGATGAGAATGCATGAAATGACCGAATTAGCTCACAAGCTGCGTTCTCCGGTTTTTCCTATACTGAATTACAAAGAGAATTCCTATGACAGGTTAGGCAAGTGAATCTTGAATAATGCGTAACTCACCGATTCGTTCCGCAGAGGCGACAAGTATATCCCGGTGTCGAGCAGCAGCAGGAGCCATGAGAGCACGGAACCGATCCAGGCGCCGCCGAAATCGATCATAATATGTTTCCAGCTCCTCTAGGCGTCTTCTGATATGGCCCTGATCGTCGTTGACCTCATTCACTGTGTCTTCCCCTATGGTCCCGGTTTGATGCTCTTCGTTCGTCACGCTCTCTGTTTGCATGAAGTAGGAGTCGTTCGGAGCTATCGTGGGAGTTCTCTGCGTGCGAAATCCGATTGGCCATATGGGTGGAATCACACGCGCTTTCGTCGGATCGATACCACAAGCCTCGGCTTGTTGGTTGAGCCGATGCAACACGTAAGCATTGCTCCCTTGTAGCATGAACACGTGATGGGGGAGTAGCAATTTATGGGAGGCTGGGCGCTTCTCATCTGCCATCGATTCTTCATCAGCTGGGTCAGCTAATCGCGCATAAGGATAAACAAAGGATGTAGCGGACTGCACAGAATAGTTCGTCAGATGAGAAAGCCAGCCCCCGTACAGGAAAGTCTTCAATAGGGCTTCAATGTAAGTCATTTGATCCTTTCGCATCGCTGTGTTTTATCTAACAATTACACACACCTATGTTAGAAAAGCGTACCCATGGCTGCAATCTTTCGCCGTAATCAGGTGGAGGTATATGTGTTGTGAACGCATTTGATACATTACACACACACACACACACACACACACACACACACACACACACACACACACACAACTAGGTGGTTCCGCCAACAGATCTAGGTAAAAGTCATCAGGATCAGCTTCCTTGAAAGATGGTGCCCAGCCACAATCCAGAGTGTTTGTAGTGAGAAAACTGTAGATTGCATCTAAAACAAATAACTCACTTCCACCCCAAAATAAGTCTTTTGGCTGAGACTGGGAGGTAAGAGTCCGAACTTAATAAACACTTAGTTATCCGATCTACTGACTTTCTCTACAGGCAGGTAACGGACGGAAGTTGAACATAAATAGTCATTCAGCGTATCAGTTACCTACAATCCGGTACTTCCAAACAAACCTATATGTCTGGTGATTAAAACAATCATGGTTATTGTGGAGCCGTAACACGTGAATAATTGTGGATAGAGTGAGAGACAACAGTGAATCTATGTGGAGCATGGATTCCAGTCGGGAGCTGTAGTTTGGTCACCAGATAGATGCTGTGGATACTACATGAAGAACAGTGGTAGCCGCAGCTGTTCGACTAAACGCTGAAGAGGAAATATGCCTGCCGGGCGATTATTTTGGTGAATTGTGTCACTCGCACTCCATCAAAGAGGACATTGAGAGCGAATGAGGAGATACTAATTTGTTCACCAGAGTAAGATAACTTGCAAGCCGTAAAATAGTTTAGTTAACTTTTCTATGAAGGCCGCTTGCTACGAAGGCCAATGACCGCGGCAGTAATAATCATAAAGTATCCGCAGCGACGAAGTTGTTTCATACTGCAAGTCCGCGTATAGTCTGAGCGATTTGCTCTCTTCATTGGATGGTGTTGGCCGTCTGGATGTGATCGTCTCCTACTCTCTATTGGAGTTCCTTGCCAGTGGAGTATCCAAGCAACCAACCAATAGTTGCATTTGCGACTATATTACTTAAGCAGTCAAAAATAGCACGTAAAATATGTAATTGATTCCGTGATCTGGCCTGGGGCACTCACGCCGGAAAAGTAGCTCAGCTTGTGCTATGGTCTTGGGAAATCCGTCCAACACGAAGCCCTGATTCTGGCATGGATGACTGAGGAGTTTCTGCACCACCAAACTGCCAAAGGGAAGCAAAGAACAATATTTGTGGTACACAAAAGAAGCCGTAGAAAGGCGACAATAAAACCTCATTTCTTTTGCTGACACAAACTAAGCTAGAAGGGTTACTTCTGTGCTGATCATTCTCGAGAACTGTTGCACAAAGCAAAATAGGTCATAATTCCAACCATGCAGACAAGCTGGGGACAGTTTTGCAACATTTGAACGGCATTTGCCCAGTATGGCTTACCGCATTAACGTTTCATCGTTCAATCGGCCGTTTTCATCTGTGTTCTCTGCAAGATTGTCCAACTGCTCTTGAGCATCACTCACTAGCAGCTCGAGTTCCTCTTCCGACTTCCAGGTGGGCGGTGGGTCCAGTGGGTAATAGTCCATGTCGGCCATGGATTCCGTGTACGTCGAACGTCGGATTGATGGCACCTCGTCTACATAACACGTGTGGAAGACAACGTTTAAAGGTTCCTTTTAAAGGTAGGCGTGATCGCGATAGAACGTTTAGATTGATGTCAGAATCATACAGTGAATATATGATATACTAGATTAGAAAAAACTGCAACACCACTGAGACCGACCTCACCTGCAGTCAGCGTGTATTTATACTCCTCGTACTCTGTGGTTTCATACGTTCCACTTGCCAAGGGGGGCGCACGTGACTTTCGCGGTTGCTGTTCCTCCGTCGGTCTTGGTTGTAATCTCGGAGCGGCGGCCGGAGCCTCTCCAGCATTTGCCTCCAAAATTTCCTCCTTTTCAACCTCATGCTCTTCCGCCGCTGACATCTCAGCAAGCTCGAGTTCACGTTGGCGGGCTGCGGCTGCAGCTTCGGCTGCTAGCTGTTCCGCTTTCCGCATCTCATGTAAACGCTCAAGCGCTCTGATTGGTTCGATCTGAAAGAAGTTGAGCGGCACGGAACAATGGAACAGTAGTATATTACGGTCAAAAAGTAATGTTTAACAAGTCCAATTGGATGGGAAATATTTAGAAAAGAGAGCATGATTATAAAATGTAAAGCCTTTTAGTAGGCTCACCAAGTTGTTCGCATTGGGACACACATAAAAGAGCTGAGGCGTTCAGCTGGTAGCAATTATACACCTGATTAGACTTTCGAAAACACGCCGTTTGGTTACGTTATGTAGCATTCTGGCTAGCAAAACTTATAAAATAAAATACCAATGGGATAACGCTACGTCAAGTCGTTTTTTAATGGCGTTAGGCTGGGGGATCAAATTCACCTGCTCAGCATCATCAATACACGTTAGCTGAGGGCGGGAAGCACACCTCAGCTAATGGGCCGCAAAAAAAAAGACAAACTACTAAAAATTACAGACTAAAAACATTCAAAAAGCTAGTAAAATGATGTTGCATATCAGAGTATGCATTTGATATGAGTTCATGATTGCAGGGGAAATCTAAAGGGGAGGAATGGATAAAGAAATTCACTACACAAATAGCCTTCGGGCGGGCCCTTCGCCTTCACAACTAGTGTGTTTAAACAAACATGTTCATCGTCATTTGGACCTCAGCCAAGCAATAGGAATGCAGAAACCGAGGCCAAATTGGAAGTAAGGACCCTCATTTCTCTGGACCAAATCATCGTTTGACCACCCGTCCTTCTGTCCCACACCCCGGGCGCGCATACAACACACGACGCGGTAGTCGGTGTGCTGCCATGCGCAACACGTGGCCCAGCCATCGGAGCCTGATGCCTGATATATTGGTGCTGAACGGTTCACTCGCTCTTCCTGTACCAAATACATGACGCTGGACAAATCCAGTGTCTACGCGGTGCTCCCACCAGACAGGAGCTAAGCTGTGAAAACAGCAATGGTCGAATGTAACTAGCCTCTTTATGTCTGTCGACTTGATGGGCCAGATTTCACAATCGTTTTGGGGGCGAGAGTGATTCCGCATTTGCGCCACAGACGGCGGAGGTTGGTAATAGCACCTAGAGCTTTAGATGTATAGGTCGTGATCTCATCTTCGATCGTACGGGAGCCTATATAGCTGCCCATATGCTTAAATTCCTGGACGACTTCTAGCCGATCACCGCCAAGGATCGGCGCAGGGGTGTGTTCCTGCCAATCTTGGAGAAGGAGTTTGCATTTCGAAGGGGCAGAACACAGCCTAAAATGATTGACAGCAAATGCTGATCGGCCCAGTGATGCTTGGCACATTTAGGCGCTGTTATAGATCAAGGCGATGTCGTCAGCATACTCCAGGTAAAGAAGTTACTCACGCGAAAGCAGCTACACGTCTTGCACGTTGCCTCCGGCAAACGCTGTTTCCATGATTTCATCAATGGCGAATGTAAAGAGGAAAGGTGAGAGCAGGTATCCTTGTGTTACGCCGCTGGAGATATTGGAGGGCGGCGACAGTTTGTCATAAATCCTCACCCTGCCCGAACTATATGCGTACAGCGCTCTGATAATGTTTACTTATTTATCGGACACATATTTTCTCTGCAGACAGTTCCAAAGGGCACATCGATCTGCTAAATCGAAGGCACCTTTGATATCTACAATCACGATAACGGTGCGCCGTCAGTACATATGGCAGCGCGTCAACGATTGAAGTATAATAAAGATATAGTCGATGTGGCCGCGATTTCGACGAAACCCGACTTGCTCCTCACGTACCTTACTTTCACAAGTACCAGTCAGTCTGTGGAGAACGACAGACGCAAGCAATGTGGAGGTAAGTGAGATCAGACTGATCCTTCCATGATTACAGCATTCCAAATGTGTGACTCTTGAAAATTGGGACTTTGACGGAGGGATTCTGGCCTGTCGGGACAGTTTCTGGCTCCCACAGCTACCCTAATAAGTTGTGTAAGGGTATGGTCCAGGGGGAAGGATGACCATTGATCGATATGGAAGCTGGTATACATCATCAAGGTCAAGGCCACAGCCTTCGGTTTGAAAAAGCGTTCGCTCCGCTCTCAGGCCAGTTTGTTCAATATTCTTGTGTCATATATTGTTATGGTTCTATATTGTTATATACTTCTATATAATAGTTGATTCTGCGTTATCCGGTGATATATGTAGATATATATTAGCCGTAATTTTCTCGTTTTTTGTCCTCCTAGCGATTTTTCGATCTTAGTGGTAACGTGCCCTTATCCTGTTAGGCCAAATTTATCTCGTTGTTTTTATTGTTATAACAGTGTCGTCCTCTAGTTCACATAGTTAATTCTAGCTAGTCATTTAGCGTTATACTTCGTAACTATCTGTAATATTTTATCATAACTTCTGTATCGCTTAATTGCACCGATTTGCTCGTATCGATCGTACTTATTTTTAAAATGGCGAAGCATTCTCCTTGTGGAATTTGCTGCAAGCTCGTCGGACATAGAGCTAATGCGATTTCATGCAGTCTCTGCAGCGCAAGGCTTCATATTTCGTGCGTTGGTCTGACTGTAGACCAATTTCGTATAATTCAGGGCATTAAGAGCGAATTTTTGAAGACCGTTTGTAAGCAATGCCAAGCTAATCTTGTGCAGAATAAAACGGACACGTCTAACAAGCGGATCAGCACAACGAAGTGCTCTAGAATGCCCAGCTCGCCTTGTGCTCCACCACAGTCAGTGAGGCAGCCAACGCCTAGTACCTCATCGCATCCATCGCGGAAACAAGGTACTAAAGTTCCATCAGACTCTCCCTCAAGACCTACTATATGTTCAGCTGACAGTAAAGTTCCAATTTGCAATAAACAAATTGAGGATAACGATTGGAGAGTACAAACATCGAAGAAACCAAGACCAATATCTAATGACCTGAGGCGCCGTAGCCACATGGTCTTTTACGCACCTGAGTCAGGTGATTCTAATCCTCAGGTGCGTTATGCACATGACGTCGAATATTTGCAATCATTGATTGACAGACTACTCGATGTAAATGAGGACGGGCTCAAAGTGCAGCAGATCGCCCGTCTAGGAAAGAGAATGGAGGGCAAAAGTCGGCCCATGAGGGTGACATTTGTCGAAGAAGCAAGTACCAAGTTACTATTGTCTCGCCTTAATAGGCTGAAGGGTCTGAAGATCCACGTGCGCGCTGACTTAGAACCGGCAGACAGAGAGAAACTCAAGTCTGCCATGATTGAACTAAAGCGGCGCACGGAGGATGGAGAAACAAACCTCCGTATTGTAAATTTTCGAGTAGTTGCCCGGGTTCCTCCACGAATACTGATCAACAGGTTTCTAATACTTCAGGCGCGCCCAGCGGGTCCTACCGCGGTCTGCGCGTAGCCTTTACTAACGTATGCAGTTTGATGAACAAGCGCGATGTGCTGTACGACTTCGTAAGCTCTCAGCGACCGGACGTATTAGGCCTTGCTGAGACATGGTTAAACTCCGAGGTAAACGCCCAAGAAGTGGAAATCACCGGCTACTCATGCTTCCGCTGTGATAGACCATCAAATGGTCGCGGTGATGTGCTACTTTACATAAAGTCTTCCTTGTGTGGGAGACTAGTGAGCGCCTACCAAAGCGCTGATGGTCTATGTGAGCAGTTATGGTGTTCGATTCACCTCAGACGCGGCGAGTTGCTCGTGGGCGTGGTATATCGCAGTCCACTGAGCCGCTGTTTGGACTGGTTGCCGCGTATTCGCAACCACATGAGTCGTCCGATGTTCCTACTCATGGGCGATTTCAACTTGCCCCGAATACAGTGGCCTGAAGCTGAACTTCTCCCCGGCCACTGTGAAGTCGAGAGGAAGTTTACGGAGTTGCTATTTGAAACTGGGGCCACACAGCACATCAACCAACCGACACGCATTACAGCGCGCGCGACTCCATCATGCTTAGACCTGCTGTTGACTAGCTGTGAGCAGCGTGTACATAACATTAAAGTCTTAGAGCCTCTGGGAGCGAGTGACCACTCAGTGATCATAGGCAGTTTAGAACTACCGCTACCGTATCCTCTCCCACTAGAGTCAGCCTTCAACTATTGGAAGGCGGACTTTAATGGCCTCATTCGAGCAGCGAGCCAGATAGACTGGTCTTTACCACAGGATTCACCTATTGAAACCTGTTGGGCTATCATTAAAGAGGGAGTGAAATCGTTGTGCGCCCGATTTGTGCCCCTCAAATTTCGGAAAGTTGGGCCAGTCAAACCACATTGGTTTGACAAAGAGTACAACAAAATGGCCCGACGGCGACGTAGACTATGGAACAAATTCGTGTTATCTGGCTCTGATGAGGACTACAATGCCTACAAGGTACAGCGAAATCGCTGCAACAAAGCGAAAACAAGAAAACGCAGAAGCTTCGAAGAGGAGCTTGCAACTGCCTCAAAAACTGCTCCCAAGAGGATCTTCGCATATGTGAAGCGGCGCCTAAGGCCTATAGCCAATATCCCAGTGTTAGAAGGCTCAGAAGGACAGCCCCTAACCTCGAGTAAAGATCGAGCGTCAGCATTAGCAACGCACTTCGCCTCCGTATTCGCAAGTGACCAGGTGCCTGTAATGAGTTCGGTGAGCACCGCTCCAAACGAACTTAACAGCCTGGACTGCAATATTGAGGATGTGCGCAAGCTTCTAGCAAATCTTGACGGGATGAAACCTGCTGGGCCAGATGGTATACACCCACTAATCCTCAAGTCATTATCGACCGTAATTGCACCTTCTGTAACTGAACTGTTTAACAGGTCACTATCCACTGGTCTACTACCGGACGACTGGAAATGCTCAGTCGTAAAGCCTATCCCGAAAGGTGGTAACCCAAGCAAAGTGGATAACTACCGGCCGATCTGCCTGACGGCAGTTTTGGCAAAGACGCTCGAGAAGATCGTGAAGAAGAGCCTTCTGCTACTTCTCGAGTCGAAAAATCTGTTAACCACCGCACAGCATGGTTTCCTGAAAGGTCGTTCGTGCATCACCAACCTACTGTTGA